AGAGGATCTCTGATTGGTCTACGTCCGCCCAATCCTTGGTAAACAGTTGCCTGTTGGCTAAACAAAACTCACAAGAGGAGGAGAAAATTTGGGATACATCAGTGGTATTATCCTTACGTTCGATTTTGCTAATTACACTAATAATAATTAAATTTGAAATCGACGGAGCTTTTAATTAAATGTTGCCTTAGATTATATGTAACAATTTTATTTCATAAAATATCATAATAGTAAATATATTGACTTAACACAAAAGGTATTTGTGTTAAGAAAATTACAAGAATTTTTTCTTCTTAAAATTTGTAAGTTAAAATGTAAATAAAATTATAGAATGATGTCATAGATAAATTAAAAAATATATCCTTTAACTAAATTATGCAATAACTAGTACATATACTTGCATATTATATAATTATTACTTTGCCCCTATTAGTTCTTCATAGTGTTCTTTTCATTTAATAAATTCTGGATTTTTTCCAGCCAAGATATTCTTCCGTTAATTAGCTGTGATCTTTTTATATGTTAAAATATATATAAAAAATTACATATATTTTTATTATACAATAAATAATTGTACTTTGAATTTATTCGAAACACAGAATCAGACGTATATTTACTATCGCAATGAAAATATATAAAAATGTCTTTTAACTTCGACACTAAACAATTAATCCGGATACAACGATGGCAGATAATTATCGCTCCTTGAAGATATCTATCTTATGTAAAAATGGTTCACGAGAAAGGCAATTACGGTCGCCTGGCATCAAAGAAAAAAAATTAGTCGTCCTATAAGTGCTTCTTTAATCGCGGCATTTCTCTTTGACAGTGAACCACTACCACTGGCTCTGTCAAGAAGCTTCTGCTGCAGTTGCCGACGGACAAGCAGCCGACCACTCGACCAATCACTTTCACTGATATCGACTACGAGAGACCGAAAAAAATGAAAGAGTACGAATTATCGATTACAGAGGAATGCCAGAGAAAGGGCGATGGAATTTTTCGGAAAAAAGTAACAATCCTTTTTATTGTTAGCTGACACTGACGACAATGCGTGAGTTACAGCATGTGAGACAAAGATTGACATCTATCTCGTTTAAACACATCTATATCATGTTTTTTTCTTATTTCATGAGTGATATTACATTAAGTTAGTATCAAAAACAATTTAGAATACAAACAAAATCAAATAAATAAAATATAAAATTAAATTTTTACTTAATATTAGATATTACGAGAATATATCACAAAATTGATTTGTATTTATTTCTTTTTTTTTATTTTTATAAAAATCATTGATCCGATTCAATCAATTGTGAGAAAGAAAATTCGTAGATTATTGAGTGTAATTTTATAAAAATTTTTTATAAGATCAATTAATATTTACTTTTTCATTATAATTTCCTGCTTAATAAATTTGACAAATCTAATTTACGACTAGATAACTAGAAATAATTATGTGGCTATTACACATTAGCATCTGGTTTCTCTCGGAAATAAAACCAGACACGCTCGTCCTTATCACGGATAATGCATTCACTTTTCCTAATCGTTCGTTATAAATTGGTTCAATCTTATACGTTCTATACAAATATGAAATAGGTACGCGAAACATATTGGTCCGTATTCAAAACGCATTTATAATGATGTTAATGTGTATTCAGCATAGAATTTACATTATGGTATATACATTATACCATAATGTAATAATGTATTAATTTCAGAAATAAAAGTGCGCATTTATTAATAAAAGCGCATTCTGAGAACGGACCATTATCTCGTAATTTTTAAAAAATAAGAAAATTGCGATAATTGTTCATTATTTATGTTCAACCAAAGTATTAAGAGGCTTAAATAATTAAAAATTAAAATATAAAAGGATAAAAGTTACGAGCAAAAAACAAAACTGTTCAATTTAAAATTAAATTTACCGTTATTCACTATTATTACATTGAATATTCTTAAATGTTCAATGTATAATAGTGAATAACGATAAATTTAATTTAACGAAACAAATATTTCGACTCCTATTGAGTTATTTTTAATGTTATTGTCTTTAAAAGAAAACTTTTCCGAAATCTGAATCACTCTTGACCGTACTCTAAAATCTTACGAATAATAAAAAAAAAAAACTTCGCGTATAGTTTGTAAAATAGCAATAAAAAAACAGTTTTTGAATTTAATTTCTTATAGTACGATTAAAAGATATGAACGAGTATCTTTGAAAGCTAACAAATATTCATTGAGTGTACAAATGTTACTCAGCTATGGTCAGACAAAAAAATTAATCTTGATTGTAATAAAATATTTTCAATATATCAGTATAATATATTATAGTTATAATGCTAAAAATAACCCTTTTTTCAACAAACAGTAAATTTCTTAAAATTGTGATAGAACAAATGATTCATTTTTATGTGTTCTTTTTATTAAATAATGTATTTAAAAAATAAAAAAAAGTTAATTGTCGTAAATCGTCCATACAATTTTGTCTTGTTGTTAAAAAAAGTGGAATGAAAAGGAAACAAGTGAGTTATTTATGCAAACAGGTTGTAAGGGATGAAGGAAAGTCCCGCGAGATTTCATCGCTACCGTTTTCCCGACAAAGTCCCTTTGACCTCGGATGTTGCCAGTGTTTCGTTTTTAACACGAGAAAACGAAGGGAAGCTTTTTTTTCTCAAAGGGTCGATATATACACTGGCAGCTATTATATGTTTGTTCGTGTCGCTCCGTCATCTGGAGAAGGAAGCGTGTCATCGTAAAAGTAGGTTGATACACCATTTCATTTTTTTTTTTTGACTTATTACACGAAGATCTGACGTAATTATTAAACAACATTTAACACCTGTCAAAATTTACATATTAGGAACAAATAGATATGAAAACATCATAACAATTAATCGAAATTTTTAGGACACTGTAAATGAAAACAGAATATTGTCAGCCTTTCCTTTCAGAAAAAAATTAAAAATTGCATGTTTATATTCTAATGTTCTAAAAGAATACAAAATTAATGGATATGAGTTAATTCAAAGAAATTAGATAGAAATAAAAACCTATAAAAAATTGTTTATTAATTACACACGTATAGTTTCAGGAAGTAATTTAAGGAGTTTCTATGTAAGACAAAATAAACACCTTGTTGATTTATATACATTTTTAAATAATAATAAATAAAATAAAAATGTAGAAAATGTAAAAATATTATATAACGTACGACTTAGAAGGTTAAATTATGGTGTGATTTAAGAAACTAGAGCATTTTGTAAATTTTTATTTATTTAGTTTAAAAAAAAACGTAAAACAAATTTTAATCCTATTAATTTAATTTTAATAATATTCTAAATTTAATAATATTCTAATTCAACAAATAATCAAGAATTAGGCTATTTAATTTATATTTTCTGGAATTCTACTATGAAATGCTATGAAATGCTATGTTAAAAAGCACAATCACAATTTTTTATTTGTGTAAATAACAACACTCCTATTGCGCTTCATGTCACAAGTGTAATGCAACAGCATTGTAGTACCACGTAATTCTTAAGTAACCCATAAGAAAGTATGTAAGTACAATAATTGAATTTTTAATTGAGATAGTGTGATTTTTTAAAAGCCGATACGATTTCCACAACGTGCCCAATATAAGTTTTATATGTCGAATTTATGTACATAGAATATTCTATTTTATTTTATTATATTAAAAAATAACTATATATACTAATAATAATTAATTCCCGTAATTTAATTGCAATAACCACAAAATAGTTTATTCAACTATGTACATTAATTCGACATTCTCTCTCTCTCTCTCTCTCTCTCTCTCTCTCTCTCTTAATTATCAAGGTTCTCCTAGAAAACATTTAATTACGGAATATTATTAAATTCAAAAGACGTCTACACCACAAGGTAGAAAGATATCTGACAATATTTTTCGTTTTCTTTCAAGGGAATTTTCCTCTCTTTCCTTTGCACCACGCGAGTGTCGTCTAATTTGCGTCGCAGCTTCACTATATCGCACCGATATCTCGCGGCTAATATTATTACACCATAAAGAACCGGCAGTCGGAGCATTCGCGTTCGTTGGAGTTGATTGGCAAAAAGAGACGAGCACGACGACGATGGCGATACATCGCTGATCGTGTCGGCGCGGGCGGCGGTGGCAGAGGGAGGATGCCTTTACCGAGGAACGTCATACCCTAAATCATACCCCACTTCGCCGTTCGTCGACGGCGAGTTCCTTCAATTTACTAATTGAATCCTGGGTTCCTCTCAGGGGCGTAGACCAAACCGAGCTCCGCCCGTTTTGACGGGGTCGGATCACGACAGGTCTCTACGGGTACACCCACCCGGACTCGCGGCTACTACCACCGACAGCGACGAAACAACCGGGGAGACCACGCATCTCTAGCAAGGGGGGCAGCAGATCGGTACCGCACCGAATTCCGTTTTCTCAGTATCCCTTTGACTGCACATCCGGAACTGCATCGCGCTTTTCGACAACAAGACCGAGAGCAAATATAGCGACTTCAGTTTACGTCGGGTTTGCGCAGAAAGCTTCGCAACACAATATTCGGACAGAAATTGAAGAAGAGGTATCCTGCAAAGAGGAATAGATTGATAATAAAAGATAAGGAAATAATAGGATATATATCAACGAGTTTTCGTGGAACGAGAGACCAAGTGCAAAAGACCATCATCAAAAGATAAAATAATCTGTGTAAAATAATACAAAATAATTGAACCGTAGCGATACATTTCATCCTATTCAAATGAAGTTCAAGTTGGAGAGATCTTCACTTGAAAAATATAAGAAGATATAATGAACAGAAATGATAAAACATAACAATTAGACGACAGTTTTTCGTTGACAAGTCACAAAGATTGAAAAATATAACAAGATATAGTAATCCCATCATAATAAAATAATTAAACTTTAAAATATATAATAATTGATCGAGAGACAACGAGTTTAAGTTTAGAATTCGAGGTGAACGTTTTGTGAAGTTAGTATAAGTTGTGACAAATTATTAAAAGAAAACCTGACGGTGATAATATCGGACAACATGCTTAGCGGATACGAGGCACAAACAGAGTATTATCCACAATGGCATCAACCATATAATTATGTCACTCAACTTCCCTACGGTAAGTTGCATACATTCGTTTTTACTTTTTTACAAAATTAGTTATACCTAAAAGATCACTTTGAATAGAAAAGTAAAGCGCATTCTTTTACGATTTTTCTCAAAACTAATAAATTACTAATAGTAATTTCAAGCTTTTCTTAAACATGACTCCTAAAATAGAAAAATTTAAATAGATTTTAATACATCTAATTTTTCCATTTTGTTTTATAATAAACATAGAAAAATTAGATGTAAAATATAAAAATTTAGTAATATAGAAACATAAGGAAACGCGTCTTATATTGGAATAAGAAACTTCTTAAACTACAAATTATTTAAACTTTTCATTAACTTTGCATGCGAGCTAATAAATTTAGAAATTTAGGTTTTAGATTCGCTGTAATATGTCATCATATTTTCTTAGTATCAATGTTTATCATTCTATACATTGCATCGTATTTTATTATTTGTTATGCATAATAATATACGTGCCTAATAAGATAATCTATTTACGTAAGTTAAAGAATGGAAAAATTCTATGAAGATAAAACTCAATTTTTTCGTCTGCACGCAGAGGTTAACGTTATTTTTGCATTTCTTATCATTAATTCATCGTTATTAATTCATGTTCAAGCAACACCTATCGTTATAGCCAACTGGTAACACACAAAAAAAGCAGTAATACTATCAAATAGCATAATACATGCAAATGTAATAGCATTTAATAAAATCATAAAATAATAAATAATAAATAATATAATAAAATAAAATAAT